TTTCAATCGCAAAGGACTGAAATTGCGTTGAATTTCAAAATCACATGACCAAATAACAAAAATCCATGTTTTAAATACCGGTTCGTACCGGCCGGTATTACCGGTAATACCGGATACCGGTGGTCCGACCGGTACATTTACACTCAAAATACCGTTTTGGCCAAAATACCGGTTTCGTACCGGAAAATACCGGTTTTACCGGCAAATACCGGTCAAAATACCGGTTTATGCCATTTTTTTTTTTAAAAATATTTTTAATAGATTTTTATTATTTTATTTATATAAATTGAAATTTCTACACTTAACTTTAATATGTTTATATTGTTATTAGATGTTAATTTATTTTAGTATTAATTAAAGTTAGTTTTGTATATTATTTATATAATAATAACAAATTAATTTAATATTTATTAAAACCGGTAAAATAGACGGTAATACCGGTCATACCGGTAATACCGCATACCGGTCGCTACACCGGTATGACGACCGGTACGGTTTTTAAAACATTGACAAAAATATTAAATCTTTATGATTAAAAATGCCACTGAATCAAATCAACGGGACTAATATTAAATCCTTATAATATGTTTTTTATTTAGTTTTTAAATATGTTTTTTTCTATTATTATTTTTACCGACAATAATAATAATACAGTCCCGTTAAGGAATGGTTCGGTCAGTGCTGGTTACCGTAGATTATCCACACAAGATAATTTACATGTATATCCAATAATGAAAAACACTGACAGCACCATCACACCTTAGAATTTTTCATAATAGAAATAATAATTAAATGAAAATGGAAAAGTTCATTTTCAGTTGGACTCTTCAAGTCTTTTATACGCTTTGCCTATTTAGACATATACCTAAAATAACTAGTGTGGTACAGTTCACAGTGAGACCGACTTATTTTCCTCATACATTAATGCAGTTTTACAAATAAAGATAATAATGTTTTCCATTTATCCAAATTCTTAGACATACTTTTTATTTATATTAATAAAAACTATCAAGAATTTGAAGAACTATGAAAAAACTGAACAAAACCTTTTAACTCTTCCTTCATTTGACTTATGAAACAAGTTTTAAGTTATAGGTTATTTAATGCATTGTAATTTGAAACCTCTCACTAAAAGATGAAAAAAAAAAACAATTTCTGCACTTCAAAGTTGGTGAAATAAGTTATCATCAGCTAATTTACACAAATTTTTGTGTGAGATATAGATGATTTTCAATCTTTCATTTTTTTAGCTAAAAATAACTAATAAATTATATAAATATTGTCAGGTTTATATTTATGTTATTTTATAAGGTATGCAATTGTGAACTCTTGCATATTTGTTAAAATATATATGATTATATGTGAGTAACAAACCCTATTAAAACATCTAAATTTTAGTAGTTGATTTCATTTCTTCTCTCCTATTAAATTATGTCGACCTTTCTTCTATTTTCTTTTTATTTCCTTTTTAAAATATAAAAATATATCCTTTTTTTGTCTAAAAAAAAATGAAAATCAAAGTGATAAATTTAAGAAAAATGTTACGGTCTCGTTACGGAACCATTCCGTCAATATTTGTAACCGTTAGATCAACTATTCTCGACGGTTACATGATGATCTAACGGTTACAAACCTCGACGGAATGTCTCGTTACTGGATTTAGCATCTCCCTAAATTTAATGTCACATCTGAAAACATGAAATATTGTTATATTCCTCACAGCTCATCAGGTGCATCTTGAGTCTTAACCATGTGTATCCCACTTAGAATTAACTGATTTATATTATATTTTTTAGTGTCAAACATATGCTCGCTAGACCTGATTCGCATTTGATTTTGCTCAAAGAATCATAGACTTACAAACCAATTGTATTGTCAATAATCTAAAATTAATAAATCAATGATCTATTATACAATTAATCAACACATTTTGAATATAATGACATTTTATCAATAAGTTTATATCATTTAGCAGAGTGTTGTTCAACACCCACAAGTGTTAATAGATTTACATACTTTCAAATTAAAATGTCATATTCTAAAAACAACATAAATGAAAGTCTGACATATAATTATATGAGTGCATTGTTGTCAACAAAATATAATGGATCAACTTGTCATATTTATTCAATAAATTAACACACTCATAAATTAAATATCACACTCTAAAAAAAATAAAATATACAAAAATGTCAAATGAACACATATTTTTGTTAATAAAATATAATGAGTCGACTTGTCTAACAATGGTGCACAAAATAAATAAAAGTATGACAAGTAAATATGAAGGGTCGACTTATCTAACAATTAGGGGTGCGCAAAACAGAGCAGACACTGTGATGTAGGGAATGCGTACGAGTGGGAAGAATAAACGAGTAAACGAGATACTCTCTCGTAAACACGCAAAACTTTCAATATCTTATTTCATATTCAAAATCAACTGAATAAAACAATAGATGAGGAGTCCTTTAAATAAGGCTCATAACCCTATTCCTAACTTGTCCAACAAGACAAGATCTCTTATATTAATATTAGATTTCTAACTTATTCTCTAAGATACCTATAATAATAATAATAATAATAATAATAATAATAATAATAATAATAATAATAATAATAATAATAATAATAATAATAATAATAATCTACACCACACTGCTTGAGGGTCAAATGTACCACACCGAAACTTGCAATTCGGTGTTGTACGGTTCGTCGGTTCGTTTTCTTAATGTCACAAAATGTAGTTCAAATTTTTCGTATTATGCAGGGTGGTGTATTGTTTTTTATAAGTTCGATATTATTTAGTTCGGTTGGATGTGAGTTTTGCACTGAACCACACCAAATTTATTAAAATATGTAAATCTAAAATCAAGAAGAACTATGCATTTTAGTGCAGTTCAGTGCAATTATTTTAGTGTAAGAAATTTTTTGTTCCTTTTTTTTTTTCTAAATTGTTGTACGGTTAAATTATTTGTTAAGAAATTTTTGGTTCCTTTTTGTCTAAATTGTTGTGCCGTTAAATTATTTGATTTTTGTTAAGTTCAGTTTTTTCATTTTTTTTGCGGTTCGGTACGATTATTCATCAAATCGCATTGTTGTTCATACTAAAACTCGTTCATACAAAAAATTATGCAGAAGACAAATTAAAGTATGACATGTAAGTATGCATTTTTGTTATTTTGATGAGTAAATTTGCTGAGCAAATTCACTCAAAATTTTGAATAACAAAACCCTATCATTATCAATTGTGACTATTGCAAACAATTAACTTCAATTTAAATAGAAAAATCCCTCCCACCAAACTTTTGGACTTGCAAAAGAAGATGATAAACAAACACAACCGAAAATGAAGCCAAAGGCTCTATTTTTTTTTTTCTTCAAAAAAGGGCTAACCATAGACCGGCTGCCCGTAGACCATTTACACACAACGTGCATTTTATGCTCCTTTCTCTCTCTCCATTAAATTCCATGGCGGCAGTAGCTTTGCCCTCTACATGACGACGACGCCCCCCGTCTCGGCTGCCGCCGCCGCCGCCGCCTCCTTCCTACTCCTCCTCCTCGCCGCAATCTACCCTCCTGCGCCTCCGCCGTCCGCGCACGCCCTCGGCGCCACATCCGCTACCATCGCCGTCGTCTACGGCTCCGCCACCGCCGTCTGCACCGTCGCCGCACAGCAGCCGTTCCAGCAGGTCCAATGCTGGCAGGACGGCCGCCTCCTCCCCCCGATCCTCCCGACCACCTCCTTCGACGCCGTCTCCGGCGGCCGCGACACCCTCTGCGGCCTCCGCTCCGGCGGGTTCAGCCTCCTCTGCTGGAACACGGCCTTCGCCCCGAAGAGGATCTACGGCGACGCGTCGGCTCCCCTGACCTCCATCGCCGTCGGCGACACCCAAATCTGCGGCCTACGAAGCGTCAACGCCTCGGGTAATGCTGCCGTCTGCTGGCGAGGTAACAGCGATTTCTCCTCATCCCAAATCCCTAACGGAAATTTCCCATTTCGCTCGATTTCATCTGGATTTGGATTTACCTGCGGGATTCGTGCGAACGCTAATCGCGTCGTTTGTTGGGGAAATTCCACCATTTCACGCTCGATACAGTTAGCGTACGCCAACTATTCGATGAAAAGCATCATCGTCGGCGAAAAATTCGCCTGTGGGATTAACGCCACAGGCTATGTAGTCTGCAAAGGGAGTAACAGCAATAAACAGCTAAACGTCCCTGCAAACAACGCATACGAATACAGAGGACTCGCTCTGGGGGCCAAACACAGCTGCGCAATCCGAAGATTGAACCGCACGGTGGTCTGTTGGGGCGGAGAGGACGACGACGAGTTTTCCGGTGTCTCAACAATCGACGGGATCTCTTTCGAGTCAATTTCCGCAGGCCCGGATTTCACCTGCGGCTTAATCACATCCAATTTCACCGTCTTTTGCTGGGGGCCCGGCTGGCCCGACCGGTACCCTAACTTCCTCCCGCTACCAAAATCTCTTCCCGGGCCGTGTGTCGATACAGCGTGTGAATGCAATCTCTATCCGCAATCGCAGACCCTTTGCTCCGGCAACGGCCATGTTTGCAGGCCTTGCGATATCCCAGCTCCGGGCCCGCCAAATCTCCCGAAAACCCCACACGTCAATGTCATTACTCCCCAACCAGACAGCTCCACCGGACTGAAAAAGGGTTTATTGATCTTCGCCATAGTCGGCTCAGGCGGCGGGTTCGCCGGAGTATGCGCCTTAGCCTATCTACTGTGGACAGGCACCATATGTTTAGGGAAGAAGAAAATCCACAACTCTGTCCAGCCAACAATCGCCGGCCCGAACTCAGCCCAGCAACAGCCCGGCAGCGGGCCTCTGTCCCGTTCCTCCACCCTCCGCCGCCAGGGCTCCCTCCTCATGAGACGCCAGAGGAGCGGCACCTCATCGGCAAACCGAGCTGAAGAATTCTCGTTTTCCGAGCTCGCCCGAGCCACGAACGACTTCTCGTCCGAAAACAAGATCGGTTCCGGAAGTTTCGGTGTCGTGTACAGAGGCAAACTCAACGACGGGCGTGAAGTCGCCATCAAGAGAAGTGAAAATGGGCCTAAAGCGAAGAAATTTCAAGAAAAGGAAAGCGCTTTCGAATCCGAGCTTTCATTCCTCTCCCGTGTCCACCACAAGCATTTGGTCCGACTGGTCGGTTTTTGCGAGGAGAAAGACGAACGACTTTTAGTCTACGAGTACATGAAAAACGGGGCACTTCACGATCACTTGCACGGAAAGTACAACGTGGAGAAGAGTAGCAGTGTTTTAAATTCGTGGAAAATGAGGATTAAGGTAGCATTGGGTGGGGCCCGCGGGGTCGAGTACCTCCACAGCTACGCGGTCCCGCCTATAATCCACCGGGACATCAAGTCGTCGAACATACTTCTAGACGAGAATTGGGACGCACGGGTTTCTGATTTTGGGCTTTCACTGATGGGCCCGCCGGCCCAAGGGCAGGGTGGTGGTGGGTTTTACAGGCCCGAGAAGGCAGCGGGGACAGTCGGGTATATCGACC